AGGTAAGACACTTTCCTTGAATTACTTGACGACTCTCGATCTGGAAAAACTGTTTTCAATGCGTCAAACGATTTAATCACAACAAGATAAATGACCGTCGCTGGCCTCCAGGTCAAGATACCATAGTGGCTTGCGCCGACCTTTGCGTTCTCGAGTGTACGGACTCGGGGTTATCGCAAACAAAAATCACAAACCTTGCGACAAATAAGGTTTAGCAGAAAACAAATATGCTTATCCTTATTCGTACACAAAGTCTCTCAACAAAGTAACAATGAAAAGATAAAACACGGAAAACGAAAAGATTAATAAACAGCACACGATCTCGATATCCCGGTCAGTTGTCCACTCTTTGATCAGTTCATCTTCATCCTAAGCCAGAGCATATACACGGGATTCTACCTCTGTGTTGACCAAATGTCGAGCAGAAGAGTTCATCCACGAGAGGATTCCACATTCGTCCACCGTTGATCCTCTCTGGTGTAGATCACCAATCTCCTTCTCCATGCAGTCACACAGTTCTGAGGAAAATATTCCCCGGTGATGATTCTCCTTCATTTGCACCTGAAACGAAACAGCAAGATCCTCTTCTGGCCTCAAATGCCAGTAGTCGGTACAGCGAATGATAACAGAATGGTTGAGTTAGGACTCTGCGTAAACAGTACGCTGGATCCTCTTGAGTTTACGGAGTCATTCCGTCAAACTGTCAGCCTTCGCGGTCAACGCTCATAATCCACGCAATAAAAAGTAGCCATTGCTTTCCTCGAGATTTCGCCATCCTCGGGAATCACGTTAGCCATACTTCATCGATCAACAGAACTCTTCGGCATCAGTTGACAGCTCGATAGAAGCTTTAAATCCCAATCATCGCACTCAAATGATTGGATTCCACCACTGCTCTTCCGGTCCACTTGTTAGCTGCCCCAGACGTTCGAGTGATTCCGCACATTCAGAACTTCTCGGTTGTTTAATCTCAATGAGGTATCCTGACGTTGGTCACCAGGAAGCCATGGTTCATAAACGAAAATCTCATCTATCCACGAGATAGCTCGCACCAGGTGCTAACTCGAAACTTATAGCGAAAAAAATTTCTAGGGTTCATAACTAACCCCAGATGCGACTAGAGTTTACCCAATAAACAATAGAATTCGAATTATAATAAAGGTGGATAGTCCTAAGCCCCATAATAAATAAAACAACAAAACTCATACCTCGAGCTGGCGTGGCGAGACGAAAGCGAGTGGTCGAAGGGTCATTAAACAAACCAACACTAGAGATAGTCTACAGAAACGCAGACTAGCTCTGATACCATACTGAAACGCCCCGTTTTATTTAAAAAAATTTGTCGAATTTATTTATAAAAATCAGAGTTTATTTTTGACAAAATTCCAATATAAAAATTTAATATTCCACGGGCGCTACTTAAACAACTAAAACAAATAAACATTTACACAAATAAAATCTAACAGTTCAAAATAAAATACAAATTATTCATAATTCTCAAACCCAGTCATACATAATTAAATACTTCAACGGAAATTCCATGGTCTAACCAACATGTTCGAAATAACAAAAGCAGAAGCATAATTATTCAAAGTTAAACAAATGTTCTATCGAAATAATAGAAACAGAAGCAAGTAATACACAATCCAACGACCACACTCGATCATCTCTCACTACCGCCGCCAACCAATGCTCAACCTAAAAGATAGGAAGAGGAACAAGAGGATAAGGAAAGTAAATGGGGGGTGAGTACAACCATCATACTCACCATTACCGCATAGTATATTTCGCATAAAGATCCATAACCATAAATAATGTATGCATAGAATCCAAATCTAACTCCCTATTAGACCCTATCGCAAACCTCCTATGTACATACAACAAACCTTCCGACCAGACATCGGCAAGGATGTAACTTGAAACACTCCGACCCCGGATGCATCGGGCATAGGATCTTATCCAGGAGACAGTGAAGTTGAATTACCCCTCCTCTCTACACGGATTCGGGCGTTCAAACAATCCCCTCCGCTCTACACGGAGTCGGGTGTCCACCTCTCGGATGCAACGGGCAGGTGACTTCCACTGATTATGCATTCGTCAAAGGCACTACCGTCTGGACACTTAGACTAGGGTTCTCACGCATACAAAAGCTATCGCGACAAACATTTATATGAAATAACAAGTGCGATAAATGTAGATTCAACATAAATGAACCCACCTGGTAGCGATCGGAATAAACACAAAATAAGGCTAGGCGGCGAGGTCGACTCGCCAAACACCTACATTTAGTAAAATAGCCCTATCTATTAACACTAAGTCTAACTAAGTTCACGTAATCATTTAATCACGCATTAAAACAAGGAAAAACACATTTTCGAAAATATCACATAAGTTTTGAAAACTTGACCCGAGCAGCGTTTTTAAAATCGACATAACTTTCAGCATATAACTCATATGAACATGTATCAAGTTGCATTGGAATCCTAAGACATGAAGCTACAACTCTTATGAAGACACTGAAAGTAAATAAGGTCATTTAACAGGTGATAAATCAAAAAACATTAAAATTTGAGTCACAATCCAAAATTGGAAAATGAACTTGATCAGACATCAATATTTACTATCTAACTGGAGCTACAGGCATGTTTTTGATGAAACTCAAAAACCACATGATAGACAACTCAAATATCTACAACTTTGCGGAAGATCACATTGGCAAGTTTTTTCAGTCTTGGTTGGTTGATCTCTAGGCCTTATTGCAGTGGAGTTTGGTTTCTGAGTTGTGTTCTTGGTTAGGCATGGTCTAGGCCGCTTCAAGCGTGTCCTCTCATTTTTATCTTATTAATCGGGTGTGGCTCGTTGTACTCAACTTTGTATGGTTCTTTTGGAGTTAATACATCTTCTATCGTTCTGTTAAAAAAAATATCTAATCCTGACTTTGAAACACAATTTTTTTGCCACGTAGGATTCCGAAACGTAAGAGCATGTCACTTAGGCTCAACGTATTCTGTAATTATCTTTAGAATGGATAGATTCCTCCTCCATATTAAAGCAATTCCGGCGAACTGACATAACAAAAGCTCCAGAGAACCAAGCACGATAGAAGACTGTAGAAAAAGAGTAAAAGCCCCTACAAACCATCACAAGGACGACTTCATGAGGCACCCCGCCTTACTAGCTTTGAAAAATCAGAGTAAAATTTTTGCTTTTGTTTCGAAAGGTGGTGCGAGCTTGGTTTTCGAAAACACTAACTTGTTGCGGGATGACACAGATAAAAACATTACTTAACTTACTCACAGACATAAATAAAACATGCAACCAAGCTATTCGCTGCGGATAATGGAATTAAACATGCAATGTTTGATCTGTCTCGCACTGTCTAGTCTGCTAGCGGAAGCATCCAAAATACAGAATACATGCATACATAACCGAAAAAATACATGATCATAAACTAGGACATAAAAATGTGCGTAAAATATGTCCTTGCTATCATGACCACGCTTTGCCACGCATGGCTCACCCGGCACGCTCGACTCCGTCTACTGAAAAACACAATGGGGGCATGAGCAAACCACTATGCTCCGCAAAGACCAGTACTGAATAAAACATCATGTATAATAACGTGTCATGAACATAAATATATAAGAGCTGAAACTGTAAACTTTTCTTTTCTTTCTTTACTGTGGTCAAAAGACCCTCAGCCTCGGCCGCTCGTGTGCACACCTCGATGGGATATTAAGGCCCTCGGCCTCCACCGGTACCAGGTAAAACTCGAAATCGGGATAACGAGCTCTGATCTCGGCCTCTCTCTCCCAAGTGGCTTCCGACTCGTCGTGGCGACTCCAGCAAACTTTGACGAGCTCTATATCTCCGTTCCTCAGCCGACGGACCTTTCGGTCCAGAACTGCTACCGGCCGCTCATCATACGTCAGGTTTTGCCCGACCTCTAGCCCGTCAAAGTTCACTATGTGGCTCGGATCGTACACGTACTTTCTCAACATCGACACGTGGAAGACGTTGTGTACACCCGAGAGCTCTGGGGGTAATGCCAGACGGTAGGCTGTTACGCCAATGTAATGCCCCGTTTCACGTTGGAATTTTTTGAGGATTTCTATTATTATTATTATTAATATTTAATTGTTATTATTATTATTTATTGAACGCTATAAATTGTTAATTGTCGAATGTGATTTATTTGTCAAATTGCCTAATTGTCTAAATATTAATTAATTGCCTAATTTCCTAAATGTTATTATTTAATTAAAAATGTGTATTTGTATTTTTACTAATATTATTATTATTTTAAACTTTAATTTGTGTGTATTATAAAAAAAATTATATTATATCCGGTTATGTATTTATTGTGCGAATTGATTTTCGAGCCGATCCGATTTAATCTATCGGGCCTGAGGAAAATGAAAGCTGAGCCCGAGAGCTGGGCCGAATCATTTCATTGAACCCGCGAGCCAGTCAAACCAGCCCGAACCCGAACCGCCCGACCCGTGTGTGTTGTGTGTGTGTCTTGGGATTCTAGTCTCCAACCCTAATTTTTTCCTCATAAACGCGTGAGAATCAGATTAGAGAGAAATCAAATAAAATCATCCCGCAGCCTTTCTCTTCTTCATTTTTTTTTCTTGAGCCCGTTGAGCAGAGAGGAGAGATTTTCTCTCGTAAAAATCTGATCGATCCCATAGACCCCCCTCATCGTCTTCTTCAGCCTCATCGTCATCCCATCAGCATCCTCGCCATCGCTGCAAATCCATCCCGGCACCATCCCCTCTCACCATCGCGCCGCTGCGACCAGTCACCCTCTCCGGCGAAATCTGATCCCCTCACCATCTCCAATCACCCTCATCCAGTCACCATCACCTCTCCGCCATCCCATGTCGCAAAAACCAGACGCCGGCGACCCTTGCGCGACCTCTGCCGACCCCATCACCAAGCAGACGATCTCCCCGTCGAGTCCTTCTTCGCGAGTTCCCCATGCCGCGACAGCCCCTCTACGCCGCGGCCAGAGCTTCCTCCGCGCCGTGACCAACCTCTTCTGCCGCGAACAGAAGTGGGTCGACCAACCACCGTAAACCGCTGCAACTCCCAGCACCACCATTCTCTTCCGTGAAGGCTCGACTCCGGACGTCGCAGACCACGAACCACCATCGCAGCAACTTCCAGCGAGCTCCATTTGCCCCAAGCGGGACCCGTTCCAACCTCCGCGAGCTTTCAACCTCCAGCGACCTTCGCGATAAGACGAGTCCACCGAGCAGCAGCATAGTACCTTACGTGAGAACGGTATACGATGGATCGTCCCGTCGGCTTCTGTCCGATCATTGCAGCAACCCATTATCTCGTTGTCCGTTCAAGCGAGCCGTCTCCACGAACGGCTGCAAGTTACCGGTACCGAGAATCCGTTCATCGAGCAGCAGCTTGTTCGTCGTCGGAGGTCCAGCTCAGCCATTCGGCAAAGCCTTGTTGCCGTCCACCACCAGCCTCTGTTCACGTGAGTCCGCCATCGAGCCTGAGCACCCGTGCGATTGCACCCGTTCGTTTCCTCGTTTCCGTCTTTCAAACGAACCCCGAGAACGGTACAAGGCTCGACTCGTCTCGCTTAAATTCTATATATTATCTTATGTGTTCGTTTATGTGAAATGAGTGTTAAACGTGCTTCGTGAATTTAAATTCGTGCCTTAGTTGAGTAATTGTATGAATTTTATTTCATATTCGCAAATTTGATATCAAAGTGATTGCCGTCACTTTGAATAATTCTCGAACTGAATATGTGTGGTTTGTTTCATGAAAATCCTGGAGTTATAGGTACTTGGAGTTGTTCTTGATCTGTTAGTTGAAGTCGTTTCGAGTTGTATTTTGAGAGTTATGATTTTTCTAAATCGAGCATGCTGCTGAATCGTAATAAATTCACCATAAATCGACTCGTTGTCTGTTTGACCTTAATTTTTTATATGTTGTGCCACTGAGTATGTGGAATATGTGTGCCAAGCCTCGGATTTTATTTCTAAGTTTTTTGGAGTTCGAATGTTTAAAACGGTTTCTGTGCAGGAACCTGTTATTTTGTGATGTTTTAAGTTGTGTAAAAATTTCAGATAAAAAATTCGAAGTGTAGCTATGCGAACCAGTAAATGCTGATTTTGGAGCTGTTTTTTCTTAAATCATTTAAAAATGTTCCCGGATAAATTTAGGGCTGAAACTTGGTAAGTTTATGTGTTTTTGCATGTTTTATAATGTGGTAAAGTTTCAGGGTGATTGGCTAATCCTAACTCCTGATTCTGAATTTAGTTTATTTTGGAGTCTAAATGTTCGGTTATCGATTGTTCAGGTTAGAATCGTATTTTATTGATGTTGGCATGATTTATATTTATTATATAAAGTATTTGAGTTGTGTCTAGGTCTGGTAGTCACTCCATAGTACCTAACTCGGTCAAGGAATCCACGAGTCACTTAGTCGATATGAATTCGGCTAAGTATATGTGCCTTATGTGCTGTTTCGTATTGAATAGTAAGTGATAGGTTATTATAAATTGTTGTAGGTCCTTCGAGCTGAACTTGTGCTATAATTCCTTCAACTCTGTGTTTGGCTATACCTCTTGCTACATCCAGGTGGGTTTTATTTGAAAATTTCTATGCCTTAATTAATTGTTATTGTTGTGGTATGATCAAAGTATGCATGTGAACCATGTAGCCTTTGATGTGAGCTATATTGGCCGTCGAACGGTTATCCCCGTAGCTATAGAACGTACCCGATGGGGTGTCTCCTTTATTTATGTATGGCAGTCAGGGCGTGAGCCTTGGCTGGTGATCCTCGATGTAAGTCCGAAGGGATGTTTTCGGGCATTCGGGGTGGATTTACTCATACTGTCTGGGCATCGAATGTAAGGCCCGCGGGGGTTTTCGATACATGTATCAACAGTGGTCTATTGGTATAGGTGTGCACATGAGAGTTGACTCTGGGAAGGAGATGGGATATTAATTGATTTGTGCTCATACTGCGACCATACTTGCTTTATTTTATGAAATTTATTATTAATTATTGCATAGTGGTGAGAACCCCGATTTCCTATTGTGCTCATCCCCACCTGCTCTTCATTGATGCAGGTTAGTAATTGCGGGCACGACAGAGAGAAGCGAGTGGTGGTGAAGTTATTGAATATTTCCGCTGCTTAAATTGCTTATCATGAATTATGCATTCCTGACTTATGTTGAATAATGGATTATCGATAGGGAAGGTACTCCCTAGTATTTATGGATTTGATGAACCCGGTTTGGGTGTTGACCATTTATGATTATTGAACCCGGTTGGGTGTTGAGTATTTATGAATTTTGAACTCGTTGGGAATTGCATATGTGATATTATTGGAATTGCATTTGGAAAATGAGTAGCACCTCAATGTTTTTGAAATAAATTTTGAAAAATTTATTCTGAATTTCGGCAAATAAAAGTGGGGCGTTCCAGTTTGGTATCAGAGCCAGGTTGCGTTTCTGTAGACTGGTTAATGTGAATTATGTGATTACATACTTTGACCTTATATTTTGACCACTCGCTCTCGTCGTGCCGCACCAGCTTAGGTATGAGTACATGAATGATTTAAGATTATTGTGCATTGATTGGTTATTGATTACTGAAATAAAACTGGGGCTTAGGAATTTATCCTCCTACTTTTAAACGTTCTGGAACTCTAGATGAGTGGCGAACCTTAGTTTTATGAATTTGAACTCTAGCGATATAGAGTTAAGTTCTAACTTGAGGTTTTGGTTGTTTAGAAATTTGGTATGGTGTTATCGAGCTGAGTTCTGTGTATAACAGAACTCTCGATGTATTTTGGTGTCTTCGGAAGAGGACCATTCACGGGCCATCTCGAAAGGAGAAGGCTTAAACGAAGGGAGCAGACAACCGAAGAAGTCTCAAGTGTGGGATATTCGGAGGTCTGTAACCATGGTTATTAAGACCATCAGATGTGTATATGCCTATGTTAATTTTGTATTCATGAGTTGGAAATTGGTTTAAATATATGTTGTGGATATGTAGACGATCTCTTCAATTTTGAGAAATCAAACGAGACCTCGTCGATTCGTGATATAGTCGTTGTGGATTGGAACGTTGTATCGTCCTTAGTCTTATGGCGAAAACTTCGGACGAATTCGTCGTAAATCGAGTCGTAGATAAATTGTTGAACTTTAATAATTGCTGTTTTAGTGTTGGAATTATTAAAAATTATGTACTACTCGTTTTTGCCATAATCTTGCTCGAAAATTTATAAAATAGCACAGTTTGAGTTTGTGGCTGAAAATTTGTGGTATTGCTTAATTTTGAGAGATGGAATTTTGGTAAAAATTTCAAAGTTAAATTCGTTTGATAACCTGACCAACCTAATTTTGTGATTAAAATCTAGTATTTTTAATATATAGCTTTTGCAATAAAAACTGTGAATCGGCTCGTGTTCCAGTTGTTTAAGTGTTGGACTTGGTCAATGTGTGTTTTGGATTATGTGAACTCCCATGTGTATTTGGTTGAGTCTTAGTGTCGAGTCTCAGTGTTCCAATGTCCACAGAACTTCACGAACAACTTGATCGAATCAAGTTCGGCTGAGTATAATTGTGAATTCCGTTTGAGTCAGAATAGATGTTGATTATAGCATATGGACTTAATTAAGGTGCTTGGCGAGCCGAGCTCGCCGCCTATAAGTGCTTTTGTGTTATCTCCTGCTGTTATCGAGATGGAGTACTTTTCCACCTTAAAGAATTATGCAGAAATCTTTTAAGGAGGATAGACGAGTCAGAAACAAGCACATCGCGTGGTGCGGACCCGTCCCTATTCTAAATTTTGTTTATCATAAACTTTTGTTCTTTTTCTCCTTTTCGGAATCCCAGGAGGAACTTCGCGTTCAAATTCCAGAGTGTGAAGATTGGGAAGTGAGTTGCGCTCGTTTAGGACTGCTGACGCGATTAGCTACCCGAGGAAGAGCTGACGTGTCGGCCGACGCTGTTAGTCGAAAGAGCCGAGGCGAGCTATCTATTTAATGGCTCAGCAGAAGCCGCTGACTTAAAGAGAATCGTCATGAGAGTTCTTTTGAGATTCGAGTATCGTTAGATCTGTGGCGTATTGCGTTTTGTTGTTTTAGGAAATTGGTGGACTTGGAACTCGAACTTGCACCTTGCTATTTTTGAGACTTTGAAACTTTTGAAATTGTGAACGCCTGATATATGTGTCGTTTTGTTGACCCCAAAATTTTTGAAATTTGGTAAAACCATTCCTTTTTCGTAGCCTTGAATTGTAACTTCTTGTGAAAACCTGGACCAAACGCCGACCCTGACTGGGTGTAGCCACGCGAAGTGGTGGCCGAGCACGCACGAACATGCTGAGAGACGGGAGGCTTGCGCGCGGCCGACCGTTGACTCGCATGCGAACTGCAGCCGCCATCACCGAACGCACAAACTCCTCAGGCCAGTGTGTGCGGCCAAGCCTCGACCTTACAGCTGGTCTCCGAGTAGGTGGGTACGCACGCGTCCCAGCGCCCCGCTTATGTAGCGCCAGCGAGCGTGCTGCCTCTTGGGTGACAGTGCACTAACCCCGAACCTTCGATCCATTTCTTTGATCGACCAGTTTTGCTGAGATATTTATGTTACCCCGAACCTTGAACCGAGGGCTCCAAGTTCCACTAATATGTGTATAAATCCTTAATCGATGGTATCTAATTAAGAAGTGTAGTCGATGAGTCCCTATGCTTACTTAAGAGTTCCTTGAGTCGGCAAATTAGGAATGTCGTGTTCCTTTGGGTCAAGCCTTATGTTTGTGCATAAGGGTTGCGTTCGACTCGTGGAGTCGATATCATGAGGATGTGAGCTTGATGGTATCGTGTTTTATGTATGCAGTACCGTGTCATTGTCTCTGATGGAGATGCACGGTCTGTGATGAAATCATGAGCGAGTTATCAGTGTGACTCGGATGCGAGACTGAAACTTGGCGTCACGTGTTCACCGTGATGGTGAGGTAATAGGAGTACACTGACAATGCAACGAACGACCTGTCAAGGTCTTGTGTGTTGTTAGGTACAAAGCAAGTCGTTGATACTCATGAGTATAGGCTAAACCGAACTGGGTCCCTTATAAGAAGATGTATGCCTGAGCTCGGGCAGGACTGATCACCCTCCCAAGCAAGAAGGTAAACATATGAGTATAGGACGAGTCGGGTTGGTTCCTGTATATGAGTACATACCTTTCGCGAAAGTATAAGGCGATAGGACTCATGGGAACATAATCGATTTCTGGAGAGTGATGACGGACCTCGTGATTGGAAATTCCCGTTCGAGTCTGGCGTTCCTTTTAGATGTGTGTTCTTTCGCATTTCCGAGGACGAAAATATTTTAAGGAGGATAGATTGTAATGCCCCGTTTCACGTTGGAATTTTTTGAGGATTTCTATTATTATTATTATTATTATTATTTTTTTTTTTTTTTTTTTTTTTTTTTCCAACGATATAATAGCTCCATTAATATCAAAGTAGCGAAAGAGTACAAGGGAAAAACCCCAATTCCGAGCAAATGAGAGAACAAGCCACAGACTTGCCTAAACAAACTAGAAACAATCATCCAAACCACATAAAACACTAACCAAAGGAGCACATCAAGGACTTAAACAACCGCACTAAACATCATAACTGGAAATACAACACGGCTATAAAACTTAAACACATGAATCAAAACATACATAAGCCAAATAGCCCACTGACGCTAGACCTAGGCTACAGACTGTGTACATTCATCATCCAGAAGCATTTCTGTGTTTGTATTCGATCCAGTCCCTGACAGCAGCCCGAACAATCCACTCCTCTGGTTGCCATTGTCCTTCAAAGATCCACAAGTTTCTAGCTCGCCATAGCCACCACAAAATGTATGTGGAAAGCTGAATCCTATCTTCTGAAATTTCATCCTTCTTCATGTTGCTAATCCACCACCACCACTGCTTAATAGTAAGCTGTTCTTCAAGAATCCTATCCCACTGGACTGGAGCAATCTTCCAAACTAGCACAGCTTTTAAACAAGAAAACAGGACATGTTCTTGTGTTTCTTCTCCTTCCCCACATACTCTGCATCTCACCTCAACATCCATACCTCTCCTCTGCAAGTTAGAATTGACAGGTAAAATATCAGAGATGGCTTGCCACACAAAGTGTTTAACCTTGCCCATCACCTTCAACTCCCAGCATCTTCTTCGAGCTCTTTTATTGCCCTCAGCTTGCCCACTGCTCTCAGCAACTGCAGAAACAGCCATCTTAGCAGCCACCAATTTACTGTAAGCCTTCTTAACAGAGAATTTGCCTTTATCCACAAGGTCACATTGCTTTTTATCCTCAGCCCTTGGATTCAAAGAATTGATCTGCATTATTTTCCCAGCATCCTCTTCTGAGAACAAAGCAGTAATAAGATTCCCATCCCAGTACATACCACCAGCCTGGAGAAGATCATGAACCCAGAAAAGATTGCCATCAATCCCCACCTTAAGCTCTGGACTGCCTCTGTTCAGGCCAGGCACCCAATTTGGGTCATTCAGCCTGGTACTCTTGCCATTTCTGATGGTAATTTTAACATGGTTCTTCAAATCAGGAATATAAGATGCCCAAGAAGACCAAAGCCATGAGGCCCCCCCTGTATTGTTCCATTCAAAAATAGAGCAATTGTAAAAGTACTTGTGCTTCAGAAGTTGACTTACCAGCAGATCAGGTTTGTCAATAATCCTCCACAGCTGTTTGAGTATCAGGGCCTTATTAAACAACTTCAAGCCTTTGAAGCCCAGGCCACCATCATGTTTAGGCATAGTAAGTTTGTCCCAGGAAAGCCAATGCATACCCTTCTCTTTATCCCCACCTTTCCTCCACCAGAATTTTGAGAGCAATTGGCAAATCTCCTTACAGATTTTAACAGGAATCACAAAGCAGGACATCACAAAAACAGGTAGGGCACACAAAACACTCTTCACCAACACCTCCTTACCTGCAGTAGTAAGAAAATGATTCTTCCAACTACTAATTCTATCCTTCACCACATCAACCACAAATTTAAAAGTGTCAAGTTTAGAAGCACCAATTCCAAGAGGAAGCCCAAGATATCTGGATGATCTTTTAATTTCAACCCCATCCAACAAATTGGACAATCTACTACTGAGTTCAGAGTTCCCATTTTTGCTCAAAAATAAAGAAGATTTACTCAAGTTCACTTTCTGACCAGCAAACAATTGATATTTAGCAAGAGTATTCAGCAGCACTGACACATGGGCTTCATCAGCTTTACAGAACACAAGAGCATCATCAGCAAACAACAGATGGGATATCATAGGACCTTCTCTAGAAATTTTAATGCCTCTAAATTCTCCAATAGAAGTTTTATGAGTTAAACAAGCTGAGAGCACTTCAGACACCAGAATGAAAAGATAGGGGGACAAAGGATCCCCTGTCTGATTCCCCTAGATGAATTCACATAGCCACAGACTTTGCCATTCAGGTTAAAAGAAAAAGAAGGAGCAGCAATACAACTCATCACCCATTGAATGAATTTAACATGAAACCCCATCTTCCCCATCACTCTCCTTATACTATCCCATTCAACCCTGTCATAAGCTTTTTCCATGTCCAATTTGAGTGCCATAAAAACATGAGGCCCAGAACTATGTCTATGCAAGTAATGGAAAATCTCATGAGCTATAACCACATTATCCAGCAATAGTCTACCAGGCACAAAAGCAGTCTGAGCATTGCTAATACACACATCCAGACAAGGCTTAAGTCTTTCAGCCAACAGTTTAGCTATGATCTTATACATCACCCCACAAAGACTGATAGGTCTATAATTTTTCAAAGAGACAGGATACATACATTTAGGAATAAGAGTGATGATAGTATGCTTCAAGTTTTTCAACATATGCCCAGAAGAAAAGAAACTGAAGATAGCTCTGCACACATCATCCTTGATAATATACCAGAATTTTTGAAAGAAAAGAGCTGTCATACCATCATCACCAGGTGCTTTCTCCGGGGCAAGACTGAACACCACAGCTTTAATTTCCTCCTCTGTAAAGGCTTTCAGCAACTCAGAATTTGCAGCATCAGAAATAGAAGAAGGAATGTGTTGCAGCAGCTCCTCACCCCCACTTGATCCTTCAGATTTAAACAGCTCTGAGTAGTAGCTAGAAATGTGGCCCTGGATATCCTCAAAAGTTGAGAACTCTTCCCCTGAACTGCTAGTAAGTTTGGATATTGAATTAACATGTCTTCTCTGAGAGGCAAAGGCATGAAAAAACTTTGAGTTGCAGTCCCCAGCTTTGAGCCACAGAGCTCTGGATTTGTTCCTCCAATATTGTTCTTCATCAAGATGGGCTTTGTCAAGATCACTCTTCACTAAACTCCATTGCTCCCAATCTCTGTCTCTTCCCTCAGCCCTCAAACTAGCCATCTTCTCTGTCAAGACTTTAATGGTTTTCTCCTGATTTTTGTGATGAGGATTATGCCAAGCAAGTAAAGCCATTCTTGTATGCTTAATCTTCTGGTGTACCTGGTATAGAGCTGAACCGTCCACACTAATCTGCCACCCTTCCCTCACAGCCTCAGATACTCCCTCCATGTCCACCCAGCCACTATTAAACTGAAACCTCTTATGTCTATTGTTGATCTGAAGCTCAGTATCAAACAGCAACACATTGTGGTCAGAGGCAGATCTAAAGTAATTTGAAGCCTCCATTCTAGGAAATCTGACCAACCAATCCACAGAAGCAAAGATTTTATCTAATCTCTCTTCCAAATAGCCAGGTCCAGCTCTATTGTTACCCCAGGTGAAAAATGACCCTTTCTGAGCTATTTCTTGCATTTCCATATTATTAATGAAGTTCTGGAAACCTACAAAACTGCTGGAAAGCCTAGACAACCCCCCTCTCTTCTCCTCATTAGACACCAAGTCGTTCCAATCCCCTGCAATCACCCACCCATCTCCCCAACTACTTTTCCTCTGCTCAAGAAACTCCCATTGACTATGCCTCTCCCTTCTATCAGTGCTCATATATACAAAAATCATCCAACACCAGTCTTCAATCCCAGCCCCTTTAACCTCCACTTGCACACAAAATTCATTCCCCACTATCTGATTCACCTCCATGTGAGAATCCCAAAGCAGTAACAGTCCACCTCTTGAGCCAACAGGATCTACCAAGTACCATCTGGACTGAAATCCAAGCTTTCTGCACACAGTATTAGTAAAGGATCTACTTTTTTTGTTTCAGATAAAAAGATAACATTTGGGTGGTGGATTCTTCTGGAATCCTTAATCTGGGAAACTGTAGAGGGCCCACCCAGTCCTCTACAGTTCCACACCATGGCCTTCATTGGTCACATTGGGGCCATTTGTGGCTGGCCTTCTCCACCAATGATTTAGAACTGTTCCCTTTATGTTTTTTGTCACTGGGTTCTCCTTCCACACACTTCTCCAGGCTCTCAAAGATAATTAGGTCTCTGCTCCTTTTCAGATGGCTATGAGCATTAGCATCTTCAGCTGGCACCACCTCCTGGATTTTAATAGACTTATCTGAGGTTCTCCTCTTCCACCTAGACTGAGATCTCTTCCTCAAATTGTAATAGCATTCAGTCTCCACTACCTCTACTGGATTGATCTCCCCACCTTCCTGAAGTCCTTCTGTTTCCATTAACATCTCGCCATCCCCCTCCACATGTTGCTCTAAATCCACCGCTTTCCCTGTTGGTCCAGTTGGAAGGACCACTGCCATATCCACTATCTTATTGGGTGCTGGAGAAGGGTTGAAGGGTTGTAAACTGTGTGCAATAAGCCCTGGATCATGAGCATTGTCCCTAGCAGCTTTAGCAGGTGTCAGATTGTCAGAGACCCTTGAGTCATGATTTGCATTTGACTTTGGAGTCGATTCCTTCTCCCCAGAATGAAAACTATGAGAACTTCTACCACCCCCAAAAGTTTCCCCAACCTTCATCCAATCCCCATATTGCCCATCTACCACACAGTTATTATCAAAATCTTCTTCCCTCTTCTTACAATTTCTTTCTAGGTGGCCAATCATACCACAATAATAGCACAGGTTAACAAGTTTCTCATACCTGAAAGCCACCATAACTTTCTCATCACCCAGCTTAACAGAAGTGCAACGAGGGATGGGTTTGTTTATATCAATAGCAACCAGAATTTTTATGAAACTGCCCACATCTCCCCCAACTTTACAGACAATGGAGTTCTTCACCTTGTTAAAAATTTGCCCTATCTTCACTCCCACATCCATGCTCATCCAATTTAAAGGAACATTTAAGATTTGCACCCATAAATTGATTTCCTCGAAACAGCTGTGTCTCTTATGCAACCCTGGAAACCACTCTTTCAAAATCAGATATTGATTTTCATACATCCAGTTATTTCCCGATCCCACTTTCTTCATATCCTCCTGGGACAGGAATATGAACTGGAAAAAGTTCTCACTAATTTCCTTAACTTCCATAGAGTTCTGCATCCTCTAAATAAGACCCATCGTTCTCTTTAGACCCAGTAATCCTGCGTGTCTATCCCCTACAATCTTTCCAAATAGACTGCGCCTACATTCCTCCTCACTCGACTGAATGTCTTCTTCCTTGATTTCCACTTCTCCAGCTTCCGTAGCAGAAAGCGACATATTGAGGAGCTTTCGCATCACACCCTCTTCCACAACACCCCTCGAGGACCTTCCCGGCGTTTTATTATTATTATTATTATTATTATTATTTTTATTATTATTATTATTATTATTATTATTTATATTTAATTGTTATTATTATTATTTATTGAATGCTATAAATTATTAATTGTCGAATGTGATTTATTTGTTATTATTTTAAACTTTAATTTGTGTGTATTATAAAAAAACTATATTATATCCGGTTATGTATTTATTGTGCGAATTGATTTTCGAGCCGATCCGATTTAATCTATCGGGCCCGAGGAAAACGAAAGCTGAGCCCGAGAGCTGGGCCGAATCATTTCATTGAACCCGCGAGCCCGTCAAACCAGCCCGAACCAGCCCCGAACCCGAACCGCTCGACCCGTGTGTGTTGTGTGTGTGTCTTGGGCTTCTAGTCTCCAACCCTAATTTTTTCCTCATAAACGCGTGAGAATCAGATTAGAGAGAAATCAGATAAAATCATCCCGCAGCCTTTCTCTTCTTCATTTTTTTTTCTTGAGCCCGTTGAGCAGAGAGGAGAGATTTTCTCTCGTAAAAATCTGATCGATCCCATAGACCCCCCTCATCGTCTTCTTCAGCCTCATCGTCATCCCATCAGCATCCTCGCCATCGCTGCAAATCCATCCCGCCACCATCCCCTCTCACCATCGCGCCGCTGCGACCAGTCACCCTCTCCGGCGAAATCTGATCGCCTCACCATCTCCGATCACCCTCATCCTGTCACCATCACCTCTCCGCCATCCCCTGTCACAATAACCAGACGCTGGCGACCCTTGCGCGACCTCTGCCGGCCCCATCACCGAGCAGACGATCTCCCCGTCGAGTCCTCCTTCGCGAGTTCCCCACGCCGCGACAGCCCCTCCACGCCGCGGCCAGAGCTTCCTCCGCGCCGTGACCAACCCCTTCTGCCGCGAACAAAAGCGGGTCGACCAACCACCGTGAACCGCTGCAACTCCCAGCACCACCATTCTCCTCCGTGAAGGCTCGACTCTCGACGTCGCGGACCACGAGCCACCATCGCAGCAACTTCCGGCGAGCTCCATCTGCCCCGAGCAGGACCTGTTCTGACCTCCGCGAGCTTTCAACCTCCAGCGACCTTTGCGATAAGACGAGTCCACCGAGCAGCAGCATAGTACCTTACGTGAGAACGGTATACGATAGATCATCCCGTCGGCTTCTGTCCGATCATTGCAGCAACCTATTACCTCGTTGTCCGTTCAAGCGAGCCGTCTCCACGAACGGCTGCAAGTTACCGGTACCGAGAATCCGTTTGTCGAGCAGCAGCTCGTTCGTCGTCGGAAGTCCCGCTCAGCCATTCGGCAAAGCCTTGTTGCCATCCACCACCAGCCTCTGTTCACGTGAGTCCGCCATCGAGCCCGAGTACCCGTGCGGTTGCACTCGTTTGTTTCCTCGTTTCCGTTTTTCGAACGAACCCCGAGAACAGTACAAGGCTCGACCCGTCTCGCTTAAATTCTATATATTATTTTATGTGTTCGTTTATGTGAAATGAGTGTTAAACGTGCTTCGTGAATATAAATTCGTGCCTTAGTTGAGTAATTGTATGAAATTTATTTTATATTCGCAAATTGGATATCAATGTGATTGCCGTCACTTTGAATAATTGTCGAACTGAATATGTGTGGTTCGTTTCGTGGAAATCCTGAAGTTATAGGTACTTGGAGTTGTCCTTGATCTGTTAGTTTTGGTTTGAAGTCGTTTCGAGTTGTATTTTGAGAGTTATGATTTTTCTAAACCGAGCATGCTGCTGAATCGTAATAAATTCACCATAAATAGACTCGTTATCCGTTTGATATTAATTTTTGATATGTTGTGCCTTTGAGTATGTGGAATATGTGTGCCAAGCCCCGGATTTTATTTCTGAGTTTTTGGAGTTCGAATGTTTAAAACGGTTTCTGTGCTAAAACTTGTGAAATTCATTAAACATTATGCACTTGGAATTTTGAAATGACACTTTTAGGAACCTGTTATTTTGTGATGTTTTAAGTTGTGTAAAAATTTCAGATTAAAATTCGAAGTGTAGCTACGCGAACCAGTAAATGCTGATTTTGGAGCTGTTTTTGCTTAAATCATTTAAAAATGTTCACGGATGAATTTAGGGCTGAAACTTGGTGAGATTATGTGTTTTTGCATGTTTTATAATGTGGTAAAGTTTCAGGTTGATTGGCTGAACCTAACTCCTGATTCTAAATTTAGTTTATTTTGGAGTCTAAATGTTCGGTTATCGATTGTTCAGGTTAGAATTTTATTTTATTGATGTTGGCATGATTTATGTGTATTATATGAAGTATTTGAGTTGTGTCCAGGTCTGGTAGTCACTCCATAGTACCTAACTCGGTCAAGGAATCCACGAGTCACTTAGTCGATATGAATTCGGCTAAGTATATGTGCCTTATGTGCTGTTTCATATTGAATAGTAAGTGATAGGTTATTATAAATTATTGTAGGTCCTTCGAGCTGAACTTTTGCCATAATTCTTTCAACTCTGTGTTTGGCGATACCTCTTGCTACATCCAGGTGGGTTTTATTTAAAAATTTCTATCCCTTAATTAATTGTTATTGTTTTGGTATGATCAAAGTATGCATGTGAACCATGTAGCCTTTGATGTGAGCTATATTGGCCGTCGAACGGTTATCCCCGTAGCTATAGAACGTACCCGATGGGGTGTCTCCTTTATTTATGTATGGCAGTCAGGGCGTGAGCCTTGGCTGGTGATCCTCGATGTAAGTGCGAAGGGATGTTTCCAGGCATTCGGGGTGGATTTACTCCTACTGTCTGGGCATCGAATGTAAGGCCTGCGGGGGTTTTCGATACGTGTATCAGCAGTGGTCTATTGGTATAGGTGTGCACATGAGAGTTGACTCTGGGAAGGAGATGGGATATTAATTGATTTGTGTTCATACTGCGACCATACTTGCTTTATTTTATAAAATTTAATATTCATTATTGCATAGTGGTGAGCACCTCAATTTCCTATTGTGCTCATCCCCACCTGCTCTTCATTTATGCAGGTTAGTAATTGCGGGCACGACAGAGAGAAGCGAGAGGTGGTCAAGTTATTGAATATTTCCGCTGCTTAAATTGCTTATCATGAATTATGCATTCCTGACTTATGTTGAATAATTGATTATCGATAGGGAGTGTACTCCCTAGTATTTATGGATTTGATGAACCCGGTTTGGGCGTTCACCATTTATGATTATTGAACCCGGTTGGGTATTGACTATTTATTAATTTTGAACTCGTTGGGAATTGCATATGTGATATTATTGGAATTGCATTTGGAAAATGAGTAGCGCCTCAATGTTTTTGAAATAAATTTTGAAAAATTTATTCTAAATTTCGGCAAATAAAAGTGGGGCGTTACAGCCAACTCGCTCGAGAATATCGAATGGCCCTATGAATCGGGGCTGCAGCTTCCCCCTCTTCTCGAATCGTACAACACCCTTCATCGGCGTGACTTTCAGGAACACCTTGTCTCCTCGCTCGAACTCAAGCTCCCTTCTACGCTTGTTAGCGTAGGCCTTCTGACGGCTCTGTGCCTCTCTCAGCTTCGCTCGGATCTCGGCAACCTTCTGTACCATGTCCTCAATCAACTTAGGACCGAGAACCTGTTTCTCGCCAACTTCATCCCAATAAAGGGGTGAGCGGCACTTGCGACCGTATAAAGCTTCGAACGGTGCCATCTTGATCGACGAGTGATAGCTGTTGTTATAGGAAAACTCCACAGTGGACAACAACTCCTCCCACGAACCACCACGCTTTAAAACACAAGCTCTAAGCATGTCCTCAAGCGTCTAAATGGTCCGCTTCGACTGGCCGTCGGTCTGTGGGTGATATGCGGAGCTAAACTTCAGTTTCGTCCCCATGGACTCGTTCAGACTCTCCCAGAAATGGCCGGTAAACTTGGGATCTCGATCTGATTTAATCTCGGCAGGAACGCCGTGGAGTCGAACGATTCCCTGGAGATACGTATCGGCTAGCTGCTCCATGGACATGTCCATCCTAACAAGCATAAAGTGGGCCGACTTTGTCAGTCGATCCACTACTACCCATACCGCATCGTGGTGCTTGGCCGACATCGGTAATCCCGTGACAAAGTCCATGGTCCGCTTCTCCCATTTCTACTGCCGGATCTCTAGAGGCTGCAAGAGACCCGGTGGAACCTTGCGCTCGGCTTTCACCTGCTGGCAAATTAAGCACTTCTCTACAAACTCGGCGACGTCTCTCTTCATCTCCTTCCACCGGAATGACCTTTTCAGGTCGTGATACATCTTGGTGCTACCGGGATGCGCCAAGTATGGAGCAGTATGCGCCTCTGTCAAGATCTCCTTCTTCAGGGCCTCGACATTCGGCACAACTATTCTTCCCTTGTACTCCAAGGCACCATCAGTGCCTTGGTAGAAACCCTCAACTCCTCCGGCATGAATCTTCGCCCCCATCGAGCGAATGAACTCGTCGAAGGCCTGATCTCTCTGGATCCTATCTCGTAACGTGGGCCACATCCTCATTGCTCGAATACCTCCCACAACTGGCAACTTGGGAGGTGATTCGACCACCTCTAGCTGCATCCGAGCGAACTCATGCATCAACTGACTCTGCTGAGTAATCATACAGGTCAGCTCGCCCTTTCCCTTCTGGCTGAGGGCGTCGACAACTAGATTCGCCTTGCCCGGACGATAGTTAATGGTACAGTCGTAATCCTTCACTAGCTCCAACCATCACCGCTGGTGCATGTTGAGCTCCTTCTGAGTGAAGATATACTGTAAGGACTTGTGGTCTGTGTAAATCTCGCAGTGGCCTCCGTACAGGTAGTGCCTTCAAATCTTCAGGGCGTGAACCACTGCTGCCAACTCAAGATCGTGAGTCGGGTAGTTCACCTCGTGCGGCTTTAGCTGACGAGAAGCATAAGCCACAACCCTGCCGTCTTTCATCAAAACACAGCCTAGACCCTGCTTCGAGGCATCACTATAGATAGTGAAACCCTGTGTGGGGTCCGGAATAGTCAACACTGGGGCCGTCGTAAGCCTCGATTTGAGCTCCTGGAAGCTCGACTCACAACAATCATCCCACTCAAACTTCACCGATTTCCTCGTCAAACATGACAAGGGTAGGGCAATCTTCGAAAAACCCTCGATGAAATGTCTATAATAGCCTGCCAAACCAAGAAAACTCCGAACCTCGGTGGCATTTCTCGGCGTCGGCCAGTTCCGAACTGCTTCAATCTTGCTCGGGTCTACCTCAATACCTCTGGAAGTAACGATGTGGCCTAGAAAAGCCACTCGATCGAGCCAAAATTCTCACTTGAAGAACTTGGCGTACAACTTCTCACGCCTAAGAGTCTCCAAAACAGTCCGCAAATGCTCCTCATGCTGCTCCGGGCTACTGGAATAGACCAGAATATCATCAATGAAGACAATGACAAACTGATCCAGGAATGGATGGAAGACACGGTTCATGAGATCCATGAATACCGCTGGCGCATTGCTCAAACCAAACGGCATCACAACGAACTCATAATGACTGTATCTAGTTCAGAAAGCGGTCTTGGCCACGTCGGCCTCTCTGATCTTCAGCTGATGGTAACCAGAGCGGAGATCTATCTTGGAAAAGACGCTGGCTCTCCTCAGCTGATCGAATAAATCCTCTATCCTGGGAAGCGGATACTTGTTCTTCACCGTCAATCGGTTCAAATCCCGGTAGTCGATGCACATTCTCATCGATCCGTCCTTCTTCTTGACAAAGAGGAGAGACGCTCCCCACGGTGAAACGCTCGGTCGGATAAAACCGAGACTCAAAAACTCCTGAATCTGAGCCTTCAACTCCTGAAGCTCTTTCAGCGCCATGCGATACGGCACTTTCGACACTGGTCCCGCTCTTGGGACCAAGTCGATAGTGAACTCCACCTGGCGGTTAAGTGGTCCTCCTGGGAGTTGCTCGGGAAAAACGTCGACAAACTCTCGAACAATGGGAATATCTCCGGGAGACAGCTTCTCCTAAGACTCCCCAACGATATTGAAAAGAAATCCTTGACAGTCCTGTCTCTGCATGTACTTTGTCGCCTTCGCCATGGAAATAACGCACAGTAATATTCGAGACTTCGTCCCGAAGAACGTGATGTGGTCTCCCTCAGATAAGTGTAGCGTC